AGCTGTAGCTATGGAAACCATAGTAAAAGTTAGTTATAGCAAGGTGAGTTGATCTCTAGGATTCAGATGCTCAGCAGTGACATCTCTGACACATCTTTGTAAGCTTCTGTATATTCACCATGAATAGCAGGGAAGGAGGGAGCAGTTTGTCAATAATAGACTACCTGCAGTATACAGATAGCACTGACTACTCAAAAGACAAGGTAACGACAGAAGAGGATGTGTAAAGTCACATCCCTGTGCAGATAATGATGCCATATGTATGTATGATTCCTTTATTTCCTTCCCCTTGTTTACTTTATCTTCCGGCCTATGTTTACTCAAGCCTCTTGTTAGAGGCCATTGATTTGTGCCTAAGTTGTTCCGCTGAAGACCAATATTGCTTCCCAAATGCTCATCTTCTGCTCCAAAGCCTATGCCCGTGCCAGTGAAACAGGGTTGTATGTCTTGTTATCTCTATCAGTTCTGCCCCACAGGAAGCCTGAGATACAGCAGCTGCTGCTGTGGTGGGAAACCCTTCCAGCAGTTGCAGGATGACCAAGTCTCACATGATTTTTCCCTCTAGCTACTTCCGCCTTCTGCTACCTTCATCTTTCAGCAAGTCAAGCTCATTAATCTTGGAATGAGAAAACTGTTTCCTTACTCAGCTAAGAAGCGTGAGTTGTCTCTGTTCTACTATGTAAGATAAATATGACCTGAAAAGGGGCTGCTGCTTAATTCTAAGGGTTCATGGGCAGATGTACTGAAAGTATACGAGAAGTACTTCCCAGTGGCCCTAAAACAAATCTGTAAATCTCAGGGCTTCTCTACATTTTTGCCTACTTCTCTCTACCTGTTTCCTTTGTAAGCTCTAGAGAAGAATCCAGGACTGATGTAAGGGGTGACATCATTACTTTCCTGTGAATTTTCCCCCACTTGAAATACTACTATTTTTAGGAAAAATGGCCCTAAAAGTCTCTCATTTGCACATGATTGCCTTTCCTTGTTGACTGATGTTTTAAATATTTTGAAGTGTCCTATAAGAGAGAGGGGGAAAAAAAATCAAGGAACTGTCTTTCCCTTCTCTCCCTCTCTCCCTTTTGAATTCCTTACCTGTAAGGCTGTTCCTTTTGCGTGGCTATAGATGAAAAATAAAGTGCGATAAGACTGCTCTCTGCTGGCACTTCTTCGAAATTACCTTGTGAAAGTAACACTCGAGGAGTTGTTGACATCACCCGGAAACACTCCTTCAAAATTAAATAGAAACAGAGGAGGGGATATGCTTGTTCCATGAAGCATCACCCTAAATGAAAGATACCATACAGGAGAGGGCCTGTAAGTGACACTAAGGACCCTGACTGAGCTGTAGACTGGAGAAGGAGATAAAGTAATCTTAAAAGGATTGGAATGGAATGGCTTTAGACCCAGAAAAAACATTATGAGTTCAGGGGCAGAATGAGACTAAGCAAGCAAATATTATTATTTAGGCAGATCTATACTGACAAATAAAAGCCTAAATGTATTTTTTTTTAAAAAATCCATCTAAACAAAGACAAATGTCTGCAGTCATGCCTATAATTAAGCATGTAAGTACATAATTTTGCTGTTGTAGAACAGAGGGTATTGCAGGGCAAGCTCAGATCACCTGTCCAATATCTTTAATGGCCTTCTGCAGTCCTGTCCTAAATGTTCCAGCTTGATCCGGCTTTCTCATGCATTTCCTGAAGCCCTAACAGCTGTTCCCAGCTGAACAGGACATGTCAGAACTTATAGGTTCTTCTGTGATATCTGAAAACAGGAGAAAATCATTTGGTTTTTTTTCCTAGTAGGAGAGTTACCTTGTTTCAAAGGTTTGTATCCTGTATTCATAACCTTTTTTTCTTCCCCCATGGAGACAAATTGAAGTGAAACCATTCAAGAGCATTATGAACAGCATTTCTACTGCAGGTATTCATTCATGTTGCTGACTGTGCACTAAACTTTTATATTAGAATAACAGACCAGGATGGGATGCCTGTGCCCCAAACCTAAATTGGGTTTCTGCCTGTCCTTCCCTGCATTGGCTCAGTGTGTGCTGGTGCCCATAGTCCCACTGGCACAAATCTTTCTTTCTTGGGGGTTATATCACATCAAGTTTGTAGACAAACCTATGGGGAAGAGTGAAGTTCTGTATCCTCATTTAGTTATGGTATATGAGAGAGAGAGAAAGTATCCTATAACCTGTCACCCCTAATCTCCACACCCTTTAGATAGTCTGTATAATGAAAGCACACTCTTACTCCTAGATGAGGCCTTTTCATAGTCAGTGCCACAGGGCACCTGAGAGAAGCTTGTCTTTCTGCTTCCTGTAGCAGGGCAGACAGGAATACAAGCTCAAGAGCTCAGCATTCTACATGCCTCCCCTTCGGAGCATCTGTGGCAGGTACAGAACAGACCAAAGAGGACATTCATGATCAGATAAGGCTGTAAAAGAAGCTTCAGTCTGCAATAAGCAAATCTCCCTCAGTGCAAACCAGCTACTGCAGGCTTGAGCTCTGGCTGCTTGTCATCCCAGGAGCAGAAGAAAAGAGAGTAGGAAGGAAAACAGCATTAACATTGCCATGAAGTTACCAAGTAAAAAATAACTGCATATAAAAGTAGTAATAAAATTAAAAATATATATCACTGTCTTTTTATCTATAGAAAAAAAAATCCTGTTGAGACTATAAATTCAGAGATAATGGATACACTAAGAAGTAGTCAGACTATCACGCAGAAACATATGACGCTTCCTCCAGCAATGGCAGAGGAAGGAAGAGCCTGTGGTTTCCAAGGCAATCTTTCACAGTGGCTGTGTGAAAAAATGCGAGGGTGGAGTTATGCACTGGATTGTTTTTGTATGAGGTTGCATCATTGTGGGGACAGGGGACTCACAATGATACATTCCCCCAGGAGGCCTTTACAAAAAATCTTATGTGTTTGAGCATTGCAGGAGAGTGTGTTAAAACAGATGCAGAGCACTCTGCAGCATCATGGGCATGTTCTATCCCGGTTTCTCTTGGCAGACTTCTTATTATGGGAATCACTTCCATTACCTTCCATCGTCTGAGAACTGGAAGCCTATGCTCTCTAGAAAACAAGGCAGGAGATTCTGGGATGACCTTGAAATAATTGTCAGAAAATCAGGTTCACCTCACTGGAGATGCACCTAAAACCTATTGGAGCATGTGAAGCAGATAATTAATATTTTTCTGTTGCAATAATATTTTGCTAAAGAATCAAAAATGAGTCCTTATTGACATGGCAAAAGTGTTAAGAAAAAGAGTTCTGGAACATAGCTGGTACCTGTTAGAATACTGCTTTCTGCATCAGCTGTCAAAAGAGAGGTACTAGTAGTTTCAATGTAAATAGTGTTGGGCGTTTCCTTCTTAAATAAACTTTCAATGTCCACTGACTGACTATCATACCTATAGCAGTCCAATATTTCTCTCTGATCATTCTCCACACTACCTCACTGCAGTTCCTCCTGATGGAATTATCAAGGATTTGTCTGAGACCACCTGACTAACTCCTTTGGGCTCTCCTTGTGTGGATTACTTTTAAACCATCAGTGAATCAAATGGGGTTCTGCAAGATCAAGACGGCTGACCTGCCAGTGAAGGAAAAACAAATGAGTGTTTTAACTCAGCGCTACAAAGGTGAACCGCCCATACAAACAGAGCATGTGACCATGACAGCCAGAAAGCAAGTAATATTTGATTATTTAACCCTACAGATTAAAGAAAAGAAGGATTCCTAATGCTTAAAGTACAAGACTGAGAGTCAGGAAACTCAAGTTATAAAGGAATTATATTTCTAGACACTGACAGCTTCTACCAATTTGGGTACCTCTGTACGGTTTCTACTTCTGCAAAACTGCAATAGCAGGTGATATCAGTGGGAAAACCTGGAGATTAGAGAATGGTTGTGAAACAACTTGAGATGAAATAAAAACTAAATACCAATAAATTATGAATGATGCTCTTATAAATGCTAAAGATAATACAGTGGGAATTCAAGCTGATTTCCTGCAAAAGTTCTCCAGATAGAGATTGAGGACATCTTTGGGATTCCAGACAGAGTAAACATTGCTTAAGCTTCTGCTCACTAGAGTCACCTGCAGTGCATCCTTTTTCTTTGCTCATGATAAAACACTGTCACTGTGAACAACAATAAGATTACTTTCGGCAACAGCAGAAAACTTATAGTGATGGGTAAGAAATCTTTATTTTCTCTTTTAAACAACTTGAAACCCATATCTTCTGTTTAGAGAACTTGCCTTTAACTTTATCCCCTCTTTCATTATTTAACTGGTGTTTTTCTGATGTGCCAATAGCCTAGGCTACTTTGGAGAACAGAGTAAGCTTGCTGCTCTAGATAAGAATACACTGCTCTTTGGAGAACTGAATGAATGCATTTTCTGTGACTAAAGAGCTGCCCATAAAAATAATTAGAATGAGGAGTGGATTCAAAAGCATGTGTAAATCATAAATATGTCTTCTTAATAAATCAACATCTGTAAAAAACACTCTTCTCCAAAAGTATAATCATTCCCCATAATTCTAGTTCTTCTGGGGCTGCAGGTAGTTAAGTCACTGAAAGGCTCTCTGTCTGGAAAGGACTGAGTTATGGTTACACTTTGGTCAGGTCTAGAAAACAAAATCAAAAATATATAACTAAAATTACTTTGGATTTTCTAAGGGTAAACTAAAACATATGTTATCTCAAATAGCTGAGGAAGACAAATATTCATACCAGGATTTTTAAGTGGCAAAATAAAAGCAAGCAAACAAACAAACAAACAAAAAACACACACATACACTCAGTTTTATCATAAGCAATACAGCTCTATACAACTCTTTAATTTGCAGTTGTTCTCTCTCTCCTCCATACCGCGGAAAGTTTCCACAAAACAGGCTGGTTTTTTTTGCTTCTAAGACCCTGATAAATGATAGTGATCTATTCTTCCCAGTATATTGCCCCTTGGGTTAGAAGAATTGATGCCTCAGACTGTTGTATCCAACCCTTCTACCGGAAAGTTGATAGAACTCAGTCTCAACAGCAAAAATTGAGACCCTTGTAATACTCTGCAGTGATCAGCACATTTTTTGAGATGGAGTGTGACTCCGAGGTACCTGAGCTAGAATAATCATAGCTAAGAGAGCAGAGAGAATAAAAGCAGAAACTTTCATCCAGAGAAGCTCAAAGGGAGGGATGTTTAGGGACTAAAAAAGATACTTATTTTACAAGAGTATATTCATGAGGTTGAAATAGTTTAAGAAAATGAGGCTGTTCAGCTGAAAATAAGCAAAGAAAATTACTCTGCCTGCATACAGGAAATATTTTCTAATAGCGCATCTATATAAATCTCCTGTAAGGAAATGGTAAAAGCACCAGTAATTGATCCACCTAAGCAAAAAGGCTCTGGAAGTGGTATTTCTGGGATGGGTCTCGCCTGGTCAGACACACAGACATCTTTCCCTTTTTTTTAGAGGAATCTAGATTAATGCCCTTCGTGTTTCCCCTTTTGCTGGTACTGCATAAGGGGAGGGTTGGTCCACAGGATTGACTCAGAGGAGTAAAAGCAGTGGAGAGGTTTTCCTTAAGGTGCAAAATAGTGTGAGTAAAGAAAGACTGTACTTCGGCAGTGGGACAAAACTCACAGTCCTAGGTGAGAAAGAAGTCAGATCTCTGCAGTTTATGATATTGTTTTAGATGAAAAGAGCATTCTCAATTAACAACAGACTAATTATCATTTTTCACTCAGCCATAAGGACAGAACTGATACTTTATTGGTTATTTGTTAGAAAGAATGTTATAGATCGGTTGGTATGGAAGTGTAGGGTTATAGGCACTTTTTTTTAAGATCCTTGTGTCCTTAGGCTTATGATGCTCTGTCTTCCTTGACTGGGAACATCATGGTGAGAGAGAAAGAAATAACTCTGAGTCACCTCAGTGTCCAAAAAAATATTGCAGAGGTTGGGAATCAAAGATCCTTCTCTGCAAGTCTGCAAGTTTGGGCCGTTCTCCTGCCTCACTGTGTAACAACCGGGAGCAATATTTCAGAGGTGGGACCAGACTCACAGTTCCAAGAAAGGATTTTCGTGGCATCTGGATCATGCAGGGAAAG